CCACGTCTCCAATACAGTTTCCTGTAGAGTGTCTCCCGTGTTCTCTGTCCTACCTGTCCAGAGGTCCGTGGTCTGTTTTAAATACTCCATGAACATAAAATTCCTCCTTGAAGAGCTTTCTTAGCTTGGATGTCCCTGTTGAAGAAGATGTTGGAAGTCTAGTTTCTAATTGTTTAAACAAGAATCTTTCTCTGCCAATATTTTCCATTACAATCCTGTTGATTCCTCTTTGCTTTGTGGTGTCTTTCTATCATATTTTATTTGGTGATCAAACAGAAGCACTTTCTGCATTCCGAAGAACAGGAATATGGACTACTGTTCTCGGCAAGTACATTTTTGACAAGAACACAAGAGAACAGGAGCACCAGAATAATTATGGGTCAATTGGAACAGAAGTGTACTTGTGACGTCACCACATTCAAAGCTAGTCTGGATTTCAACTCCTGTTATATAATTAGTCTCTAGATAATAAATTATTAGGGCTGGGTATTTTGGCCAAAGTCCTGAATCGATTTGATTTTGATTCAATCTGTTTTTACAATAATAAAACTGGTTCAACTGTGTTTCAAAATACTCATGTATTTTGTTTTTTCTCGTCACATTAAACACAAAGTGCAAACTTGTAAATCAGACAGTTTAAACATGAGATGTGAACTAAATTGTCTCAAAAGTGCAAACTTGTTTGTGAAAAAGTGAAGCCTCACTCGAGGAAGCAGACGTGACACAGCAGACATTCATGAGCTGCATTATCTTCGCTGCACAAACCATATTTGCAGCGTTTTCTGTAACGACTACAGGGTGTTTTCTGGTCAGCCCTCATTTGTTAATGTGTTCAGTCAACCTATTGGGTATATTTGCAGCTGTCTGGCTTGAAGTAATGTTGAGTGCATCTTTCCTGCTTATTTGAATGTGAACGTCACGCGGGTCATTCCCTAGACATCGATTTTGCAAAAATGTAAAGGAAGCAATTCAAAATCGATTCAATCGATTTTTTTACCCAGCCCTATAAATTATTACTTTTTTCATTAAGTGGGGATTGATAATTAACGCAGTCAGATAAACACAAATCAAATGAACGTTTGCCAAATAATTAAATAAAAAAAGGCATCAGAACCAGCAGTACTTCAGACATGGCTATGCCAAGAGGGAGCTGGTGAAGACGGGCTAACGTTGGCCCTGGCTGCTGCAGACGGGCTAACGTTGGCCCTAGCTAGCCTTTGCGGTCCGCTGGTTGCCACGGTCCTCTCAACATCAGAACTTTTTTTTAAATTGCGCACTAAATCATTAAATGTGCCTTAGAGTAAAGCTCAAAAGTGTAAATTCTGGGACCGCTGTCAGTCTTGAGAACAGACAAATCTTCTCTTATTGGAAAGCTGTATTTATACATTTTATATAATGTGTGTGTGTGTGTGTGTGTGTATATATATATATATATATATATATATATATATATATATATATATATATATTACAGACACACACACACACACACACACGTTGCAATTCCTCTTTATTATCCTAAATCAGATGCACCTATTGAGGCTGTTAGCTGTTTAAAGACATCTGTCCACCCCACACAATCAGTAAATCCACTACTAGCATGGCCAAGACCACAGAGCTGACCAAAGACACTAGAGACTAAATTGTCCCCCTCAACAAGGCTGGAAAGGGCTACGGGGAAATTGCCAAGCAGTTTGGTGAAAAAAGGTCCACTGTTGGAGCGATAATTAGAAAATGGAAGAAGCTAAACATGAATGTCAATCTCCCTCAGACTGGGGCTACAAATAGTGAGAAATGAGCCCAGAACTATACATTAGGAGCTGAAAGCTGAAATGACCTGAAAGAGTTGGGACCACTGTAGGTCACACTATAGGAATTTTGGGTTTTCATGAGCTGTATGACAAAATCATCCATATTAAGACAATAAAAGACCTGAAATATTT